CCCAGGAGTTCAAGACCAGCTTGGGCAACATAGCAAGACCTCGTGTCTGGAAAAAACAAAAAAAAATTAGCCAGGTGATTACAGGTGGTGCATGCTTATAGTCCCAGCTACTGGGGAGGATGAGGTGGGTGGATCACCTGAGGCTAGATCGAGGCTGCAATGAGCCGTGTTCATGCCACTGCATTCCAGCCTGGGCGACAGAGTGAGACTCTAACTCAAAAAAATAAAAAATAAAAATAAAATGAGCTGGATAAGGTGGCTCACATCTGTAATCCCAGCACTCTGGAAGGAGGAGGTGAGAGGATGTCCTGAGCTCAGGTGTTCGACCAGCCTGGGCAACCTGGCGAGACTTCATCTCTATAATAAATCAAAAAATTAGCCAGGCATGGTGGCACGTGCCTGTAATTCCAGCTACTTGGAAGGCTGAGGCAGAAGGACCCGTCAGAGTCCAGCAGGTTGAGGCTGCGGTGGCTGTGAGCGTGCCACTGCGCTCCAGCCAGGGCAACAGAGTGAGACTCCTACTCAATAAATAAATAAATAAAATGAAAAGATAAAATGCTAAACATGACAGAATATTGCTATGTGGTAGGGAGGGAGATGGGGGAAAAGGAATAAATAAATGAAATTTGAAAGGGGCTTTCCAAGGCCGGGCTCGGTGGCTCAGCCTGTAATCCCAGCACTTTCGGAGGCTGAGGCGAGTGGATTGCCTGAGCCCACAGGTTCGAGACCAGCCCAGCCAACTTGGTGAGACCTTGTCTCTACAATTAAAAAAAAATTTGCCGGGCATGGTAGTACACAACTGTAGTTCCGGCTACTTGGAAGGCTGAGGCAGAAGGATTTCCAGAGCCCAGCAGGTCAACGCTGGGGTGGCTGTGAGTGTGCCACTGCCCTCCAGCTTGGGCGATGGAGTGAGACTCCAACTCAAAAAATATTAAAAAAAAAAAATAAAGGGGCCTAACATAGAATTTCTTCTTGTAATAGAGGTGATAATATGTCATGGAGCTAGGTCTATATTAACTTATTTCTGCTAAAAAGAAAAAAAAAGAGCTTGAATCCCTACCTCACACCACACATAAAAGTCAATTTGAGATAGAACAGAGACCACCATTCAAAAGCTAAAACTATAAAGCTTCTAGAAGAAAATACAGGGGAAAATTTTTTTAAAATCTAGGGTAGGTAAAGGTATCTGAAGACCCAGAAAGCATTAACCATAGCAAAAAATTATGCTAAGTGAAAAATGTCAGACACAAAAGGCCACATACTGCACAATTCCATTTACATAACATGTCCAGAATAAGTTAAGGGCAGACAGAAAGTAGATTCACAGTTTTCAAGGGCTGTCAGAAGGGAGGAATGTCAAGAAAATAGCAACCAAAAAACTGTCTCAAGTAAGCAACCTCAGCTTCATCCACTATAAAACATACATCCCCTCTGGGTTTTTTTGAGTGAAGGTCTCAGTCTGTTACCCAGGCTGGAGTGCAGTGGCACAATTACAGCTCATCACAGCCTCACAGGCTCACCACACCTGTGCTCAGGTGATTCTTCTGCCTCAGCCATCAGAGTTCTGGGACTACAGGTGCATGCTGCCATGCCTGGCTAAGTTTTTTGTCCTTTTTTTTTTTTTTTTTTTTTTGTAGAGATGAGATCTTGCTACGTTACCTAGGCTGGTCTCAAAACTCCTGGGCTCAAGCAATCCTCCCGCCTCAGCCTTCCAAAGTGCTGGGATTACAGGCATGAGCTACCATGCCCCGCCTCCTCTCTGGTATATGAACATATAAACTTCGTGCCCTAATCACAGAAATGGGAAAGAAGCAAAGACTAACCACTAGTGGCCCATTCTGCCCCTGGTGAAGAGGCTGGCAACAATCCAGCACCTAAAACAGTGTTTATATACAGGAGTGCTCAGTAACTACTTCTTGAATGACTCATTGAGAGTTGAATCTGTCCCCACTGGTGATAAGTGCCCCAGGTCAGGCTACACAAGTGGGGAGACAGACACAGGCTGGAGCTGGGGCTGCTGGTGATGGCAGGGGGAAACCATGTCATAGCTTACTGGTCTTGGGGGTGAGGTAGACACTGAGAGCGGTGACCCCATCTTCTGCCGGGTCTCGGTAGAGCTCGCTGACGAGGAGGTCATTGTCCTTCATGCGCAGGGGAAACTTCTGCACATCTGAGGTGAGCAGGAAGGATAGCGCGGGATTGTTGGAGATGTCCTGCCTGTCTCCCTCCCCACCCATTTCCGGTATCTGGGGCACAGGCTGCTGCTTACCCACGTAATAGATGGAGCCGTTGTTGCAACCCAGGAGGAGGAAGGAGCCGGCTGCGTCGTAACTGGTGATGGGCTGCACTTCCTGGACCTGGGGGGCAGGGCAGGACAGGCTGTGGCCAGGAGCTCCTTTGCTTCCAATGTAACCCCTCCCAGCACACCCTCTCCAGAACTTAACCACTGCACCCCAGCCTTGCCCACCCCAGGCCCAACTCTACTTCTGCCCTGTCTGATTTGCCCTTGACTCCCTTCTGTGCATCTGTCTCTTGACTTCTTCTCGACTCTGTACTTCTATTTTTTGAGTTAGGGTCTCACTCTGTCGCCCAGGCTGGAGTGCAGTGGCACAATCATGTCTGACTGTAGCCTCGACCTCCTCAGCTCAGGTGATCCTTCCGCCTCAGCTTCCCCAGGAGCTGGGACTACAGGCATGTGCCACCAGACCTGGCTAGTTTTTTCATTTTTTGTAGAGATGAGGTCTCACTCTGTTGCTCAGGGTGGTCTCGAACTCTTAAGCTCAAGCGATTCTCCTGCCTCGGCCTCCCAAAGTGCTGGGATTTGAGCCACCATGCGTGGCCTTGACTCTACTTCTGACATTTCTCCAATTCATCTCCATCCATCTCTCTGTATCCCTTCTTCTACCAGTTGTTCAGACCTGGCTTCACCCTGTCCACCCCTCTCTGTCCCACTTTCTAAACTTCTGTTTCTATTTGTCTTTTTCTCTATCTCTGTCTTTATGCCTCTGTTTGTCTCTCTCTCTCACTTACACTTTATTTTTTGAGTAGGCGTCTCACTCTGTCACCCAGGCTGGAGTACAGTGGCATGCTCATGGCTACCACAGTCTCGACCTACTGGGCTCAGGAGATCCTTCTGCCTCAGCCTTCCAAGTAGCTGGAATTACAGGCATGTGCCACCCAGCTAATTTTTTAATTTATTGTAGAGACGAGGTCTTGCCAAGTTGCCCAGGCTGGTCTTGAACCACTGGGCTCAGGCAATCCTCTTGCTTTCACCTCCCAAAGTGCTGGGATTACAGGCATAAACCACCATACCTGGCCTCAAACACTCACACTTTAATAGGAGAGAAACAACTCTTAAAATTTTATTTTTTTTATTTTTTGAGTTGGAGTCTCGCTCTGTCGCCAGATTGGAGTGCAGTGGCCGCTCCCGGCCACCGCAGCCTCGACCTGATGGGCTGCAGCGATCCTTCCACCTCAGTCTTCCAAGTAGCTGGAACTACAGGCGCACACTACCACGCCCAGCTAGTTTTTTTTTATTTTATTGTAGAGACAAGGTCTCGCCAAGTTGCCCGGGTGGGTCTCGAACCCGCGGGCTCAGGCAATCCTCTCGCCTCGGCCTCCCAAAGTGCTGGGATTATAGGCTGAGCCACCGAGCCCGGCCAAAATTTTATTTTTTTAACATTTTGATACAGCTTTAGGTGGGTGCAGAGAGAATGAGGGATGTTTCCATGACTTCCTCTGAGTTCCTACCTCCTAAACCATCTCCTCTCACTTGCTTCCCCACCCAGTGCCTAGAGAACTCCCTCTCCTTTCCAAACCCATCCCATCCTCCATGTCAGCTCCTCTTCCAGGAAGGCCTCCCTGATGCTCCTTTGGCCTTTATCACAAACATCCCCATACTCAGGCCAACTGCTGGGTTCTCTGGCTCTCTGTAGGCAGGGCAGGGACAGAAGGGAAACCCTCTTTGGGTCTGTATTATCTGGAAACCTGGGAAGAGGCCAGCCAGGCTAGCCAGAGCTCTGACCTGCCAGTGCTTGGTGACAGCATTCCACACCCCGATCCGTCCCGTGTGGCTAGTGGCAATGAGCTGGTTCCCAACGAAGAACAAGGCCTCCACAGGTACCCCCAGATGGAATACTCCTGCAGTGGGCAAGGAAGGTGCTGCTGGAACCCTGCCTCATGAAAGAGGAGGGGTGGCAAGAAGAACTCCAAGGGTCAGAGGATTGAGTTGAGCTATGGAATCCTCTGGAGGATAGAGGATTATAGCAAGAACGAACAGGATTGCAATGGGCCAGGTTTCTGAGGGGGTATGGGCCTCTAAAAGGGTTCAGTGGCTCAGTCTGTAATCCCAGCACTTTGGGAGGCCGAGGCGAGTGGACTGCCTGAGCCCGCGGGTCCGAGACCAGCCTGGGCAACCTGGCGAGAGTGTTAAAAAATTAGCTGGGTGTGGTAGCGTGTGCCTATAGTTCCAGCTATTTGGAAGGCTGAGGCGGAAGGATTGCTGGAGCCCAGCAGGTTGATGCTGGGGTGGCTATGAGCGTGCCATGGCACTCCAGCCTGGGTGACAGAGTGAGACTCCAACTCAAAAATAACTAAAAAATAAAATAAAATAAAAGGATATGGAATTCTAACATGGCTGAGATTTGCCACAAAGCAACATAACCCTAGTGTTGCTAGAGGATTCTTTTTTTTTTGAGTTGGAGTCTCACTCTGTCAGTAAGGCTAGAATGCAATGGCATGCTGCTCACGGCCACTGCAGGCTCTACCTGCTGGGGTCAGGAAATCCTTTCGCCTCAGGCTTTCAAGTAGCTGGAACTATGGGCGTATGCCACCACACCGGCTAATTTTTCTTGATTTGTTGTGGAGATGAGGTATTGCCAATTTGCCCAGGCTGGTCTCGAATCCCTGGGCTCAAGCAATCCTCTCACCTCAGCCTCCCAAAATGCTGGATTACAGGTGTGAGCCACCACGCCCAGCCACTAGAGGATTCTTATGAGGACTGAGATTTTGTTTGGGGACATATTAGTCTGATAAGTCAGAGATTTCTTAAAAATTGTTTTAATAGAAGCGGGGTCTAACTATATTGCCCAGGCTGATCTCAAACTCCTTTTGCTTAAGCAATCCTCCAGCCTCAGCCTCCCAAAGTGCTGAGAATATAGGCATAAGCTACCGTTTCTACACAGATTCTGCTGGGCTCTGGGATTCTACTGGCATGGAACATTCTAACAAACCAAAGCGATCTGACAGGACAGAGGAGAGAACTATATGTGGATGGATTCTTCTAACCGCCCAAGGAATTCTAACAGGATATGGGATTCTGAAGAGTTGGTGCATTCTAATGAGGCAAAGAGATCAAAGAGAGACTTCTTCCCGGTTTGAGAATCTTATGGGGTGAGTAATTTTAACTGGCCATAGAATTTAAAGGATAGAGGGTTCTGGAAAAGGACTGGGGCCGTACCGATCTCAGAGTCGCCTCCTTCCTCCTGCAGAGCCCACAGCAGGATCTCACTGCCTGTGGCTGCAGCTACCATCTTGTCATGCTCACCCAAAGCCCCACCAGGCACCCGGGCTGTGAGTGCCAGTCGCTCAATGGGCCAGTCCAGGCGGGGGCTGGAAAACACCAGCTGCCAGCCAGAGGCTTTCTTCAGCCTGTAGGATTTGAGGGGACATCATCAATGCTCACCGCAAGCCCTCCCCATCACCAGGGCTCAGACCTTCTGCCACCGCCTCCCCAAGCACCTATAGCAGACAAGAAACTGGGTATAGGCCACGGCGATCCAATTGTGGTGTCCACACACCAGGCGCACCATCCCTGGCTCCTCCGATGGCCCTTGGGGGGAAGAGTAGGAATCAGAGGGGGGTCACAGGGCCCCCCCCAGCTGCCCCGACCTCCCAGGAGATGGAAACATACCCGAAGGGACGGGAGGGGCCTTCTCATCCAGCATTCGGCCCAGCAGCCCTGCACTGCCCAGGTTGGGAGGCATTGTGTTGCTCCTTTGAACAGGGGCTGGGCGCCCCCCGACTTGCTGGGGTCCCGCCATGCTGTGCCGGTTCCACCGCTTCACTGGGCACACTACAGTGTAACAAGAATAAGAGTAACAAGAATTGTAATCACAACTGTCACATAGCAAGCACTTAAAATATGAGTTATGATTTTCCCAGATGGGCAGCCTATGCTGGTGAAGATTTTAGGTGACGCAGGGACACGGCATGAAATGACATTGAATCACATTGCCAGTTACCCCTCTCAGTTTCTTGAGCCTATCACAGAGGAAGACTCAGCTTGGTGCTGCTGTGGCATTAATGTCTCTTCAGTATTTGCTATTCTTATAGGAGTCTGCACCCTTGGCAGGCAACGGCATCTGGCCAGAGTTTAATAACATTGCTATGTCTAGGTTTTAGTTTCAAGTTCCCTTTGTATTTACAGTATAAAGATATTGATATTAAAAAAAAAAATTTTTTTTTTTTTTGAGTTGGAGTCTCACGCTGTCGCCCAGGCTGGAGTGCAGCAGCACACTCACCGCCACTGCAGCCTTGACCTGCTAGGTTCATGCGCTCCTTTTGCCTCAGGCTTCCAAGTAGCTGGAACTACAGGTATGTGTTACCATGCCCAGCAATAAAATCTGTATTTAAAATGATTTTTTGGAAAATGGGGAAAAAGCAAGTTGGACAAATGATAGTACTTTTCTTTATAACTGGCAAATTTCATGATGGTAGTAGACAGTGGGTGCCAAGGTTCGGGAAATAAAGCTATAGATTAAATCTCCCCACTCTGTTCCATCTATCAGTCAGCAAAGCCCAGGAGACTAGCACCTCCAATAACCATTGGGACATACTTTCCATGACCAGCGGGCCCTCTGTCGTGGGGATTAAAGACAATAACTTCCCTCGAATGTTTCTCCCCTCCATGCAAAGAACCCCAGGTCTTCCAAAGCCTCCCCATGAGGAAATCAAACCTGGACCGCAATTCCCATCGGGCTCTAGGGCATGCTTCCGAGCCTCAAGGTCCACTAGCTGTCCCACTGCCTCATAGGAAACGCTGTTTCCTACTTCCTTTCCAAGCATCAGCCCAAGCCTCGGACAGAGAACTGCAACTTCCGCCGTGTCTCAGGGCTCACAGCCCAGGCACCTGAGGGCTGCAGCCTTCTAAGAAACTAGTCTAGTCCACCTCTTTTCCCCTCCATCCACTGGGAGTGCCTACCCGGTGGGGGCAGGTAACCATTGAAGAGGACGTTTCCGCAGGAAGATCGGTCCAACTCCTCCCGCAGCTGCAGGCGACGAACTGCAAAGGGAGGACCCAAAGGCTGGGACTTGGGGCGTAAAGAGGCAGACCCCCTTTCCCCTCCCCTTCCCTCTCTCCACAGGATACCACCACTGCTCTCAGACCCAGGGCCACATCCAGTGTTCTCTGCTATAACCCAACCCTGTTTCAGGAGGGGGGGAAGGGGCAGGGAGCAACACTAGAGACCTGGTTTTCTATGCAAGGAGGATGCTCGTTGGAGGCCCCCACTTACCCAGAGGAGTGAGCCCATAGAACTGGGCTTCGTGGAGGAGGCTGGAACCATGGACACCCCTGGGTAGTAGAATGGACTGGAGGTCAGGGTCTGGGGGGTGAGGCTGAGCAGAGAATTCTGAGGAGGACATTTTCAAAACTACACAGAGAATGTCAAAGACATTTTGCTGGGATCAAAATTCTACCGAGTGAAGACACGGGTGGCGAAATGGAGACTTCTAAGGACATATAATTCCAACATGATCAAGGTTGTCAGTGAGGATTCTAACAGAATGGAGCTTAAGCGGATGTTCTGAGGGGAGAAGAGACTTCTAGCGGGTGAAGACGATAGGGGACTCCCTCCGCTTTATCGCTGCCAACCTGGGGTCCAACTCTTTGGTTCGCAGAAAGTTGAGGATGGGGGCGAAGACGGTGGGGTCCCTGTCGATGAAGATCTGCGGGAAAGAGGGGCAGAGGAGGGATGGCGCCAGGAGCAGGACCGGGG